TTGGTTGGTTGGTTAATTGGTTAGTTGTTTGGGGAGGGGATGTTTTTATGAGGGGGGAGGGTGTCAGTGTTCCCTGGTGTTGTGCTCTGGTGTGTGTGGGTGGTTGGCGGGTGCTCTCTGTGGTTTGCTCATTCTATCATCAAACATCTATCGTCCTTTTCTCTCTTCCTTTGTGTGTTTGTTCCTCTCTTGTAACACCTTTGATCTTGGGCGCCTGCAGGATCTGTTTGTGTTGCAAATGCCGTAAAACTTTTACTGGAAGAGCAGTGTGTGGTGTTGTAGTCAGTACGGTAGTTGGGTCGGGCGGCTGTAGCAGACAGCTGTGTGCTCTTGACTCGGAGAGACGAGTTCTAGAGGAGAGTGCTGGTGGAGGACTTGGGGGAGTCCAGAGATCTGACTAGAGTGGTGGTGGAGGGGAGTCCAGAGATCTGGCATCCCTTTAGTCTCTATCTCAACACTTTGGGTAGCTTGTCGAAACTGCCAAGTTGTATGGTAAGATTTCACGCCTCGTTCAACACTGTTAGGTTATTGAATTAAGTTGGACTACAGATTTTGCACCCTTTTCACCATTATTATTATTAGGTTCGCTTCCACTTCCACCATGTGTGGTGTAGTGGTTAGGGTTGGGTGCTTTACTCTCGCACACGGGAGACACAAGTTCCAGTCCTGAAGAGGGAGACATTTGTTATTCAAATCTCTGTCTGTCTGCTGGGATGTGTATCCCTCTCAGCCCGGGTCTGTCTGCTGGGATGTTGTATCCCTCTCAGCCCGGGTCTGTCTGCTGGGATGTTGTATCCCTCTCAGCCCGGGTCTGTCTGCTGGGATGTGTATCTCTCTCAGCCCGGGTCTGTCTGCTGGGATACTGTATCCCTCTCAGCCTGGGTTGGCCCTGACAGACTGACAGACAGGATCACAAGCCCACTTTCTTTGATCTAAATTGTGTCGATGGGGGCGTAAAGACACGGACATTCCAACCTGAACCCCCACCCCCTTCGTCTTACTCTCCGACTATCTGAGCGGGCGCCCAGTATTTGCGGTAATTTGCCGCCTGTCTCCGATAGGACCGGCCCAGATGGGTGGAGAGTTGAAGAAGGTCCAGTCTGGGATGGGAACCGGGGCCCCCCACTCCAACTGTTGAAAGAATGACACAGTTTCTTCTTCTCGCGAGAAGGTGCCAGGGTCAACTCACCAAGTGCACGGGGACCGATAGTCCTCAAAATTATATATATTTATATATATATATCCGTGCCAAGGCAAAGCGACGTATCTGCACTTTTTATGATTTTGAGTTACGTCGCGCTGTCATTGTTAATATGTGCCTGGCCCTTCAGTTACGTCTGTTTGCCATAGTGAAATCTCCTATTTGTGGTGCAGATACGTCTGTTTGCCATAGTGAAATGTCCTATTTGTGGTGCAGATACATCTGTTTGCCATAGTGAAATGTCCTATTTGTGGTGCAGATACGTCTGTTTGCCATAGTGAAATGTCCTATTTGTGGTGCAGATACATCTGTTTGCCATAGTGAAATGTCCTATTTGTGGTGCAGATACGTCTGTTTGCCATAGTGAAATGTCCTATTTGTAGTGCAGATACGTCTGTTTGCCATAGTGAAATCTCCTATTTGTGGTGCAGATACGTCTGTTTGCCATAGTGAAATGTCCTATTTGTGGTGCAGATACATCTGTTTGCCATAGTGAAATGTCCTATTTGTGGTGCAGATACGTCTGTTTGCCATAGTGAAATGTCCTATTTGTAGTGCAGATACGTCTGTTTGCCATAGTGAAATCTCCTATTTGTGGTGCAGATACGTCTGTTTGCCATAGTGAAATCTCCTATTTGTGGTGCAGATACGTCTGTTTGCCATAGTGAAATCTCCTATTTGTGGTGCAGATACGTCTTCCTGCCTTTGACACAAGATGCAGAATGGCTATAGGCGTTCATTTACACGAAGATTTATAATTTTTGCAGAGATACGTTGGTCTGCCTTGGCACGTCAGTGTAGTCATGTACATTGTATGTATCCAATGAGTGGGGTGGGTGGGGGAGGGTTTGGCAAACACACACACACTCACACACACACACACACACTCACACACACACACACACACACTTCTACACACACACACTTACACACACACACACACTTCCACACACACACAAGTTTGCCGAGTCGCCTTCTCTCTATCTGTGCTGTGCGTGCCACAGACTTGTGCAATAGACTGGTGGTCTATTATGGCAGGCAGGGACGGGCGGCCATTTTGTCCAAGTAGAAATTGTCAGTGTGGCCACAAGTCACTGTGTGACTATGTCGTGTGGTCTTTGACTTTGAGTTGTGCCCAAATGTGGTGGGACGTGGTGATGGTGACAGTGACTACGACTCTCCATTGCATTTGCATCCAGCATTAGGGCTCAGGGGTTTTTGCTCGCGGATCAGCACACAGCACGTACACAAAGCACATAGCACATGTACATAGCACATACATGCATACACATAGCACACACAGCTCATCATGTACATAGCACATGTAGCCTCCACACTACACGGAAGAATTAGGAATGTGTTGTGGTAATGTCTAGTGTAGATTACAGTTACAGAGAGGACCCATGTCTAGTGTAGATTACAGTTACAGAGAGGTCCCATGTCTAGTATAGATTACAGTTACAGAGAGGACCCATGTCTAGTGTATATTACAGTTACAGAGAGGACCCATGTCTAGTGTAGATTACAGTTACAGAGAGGTCCCATGTCTAGTATAGATTACAGTTACAGAGAGGACCCATGTCTAGTGTAGATTACAGAACCCATGCCTACAGATTACAGAACCCATGTCTATAGATTGCAGAACCCATGTCTACAGATTACAGAACCCATGTCTACAGATTACAGAACCCATGTCTACAGATTGCAGAACCCATGTCTACAGATTGCAGAACCCATGTCTCGCCCATTGGCACAACTCGACACAAAACATTGGGTGTCTTCCTGAAAAAAAAGAAAAAAGATGTAGGCTACGTGTGTGAGTTCTTTGCAACAGTCAACTCTTTGTTGTTTTTTATCTGTGGTGTCTACAGTCGAGGCATCCACCTTGCCGATACCCTGCCGACACCTCAACGATACCTTGCCGACACCTCGCCGATACCCAGGACTTTGGGCATGATGTGAAGACTGTCGTGCAGGACAGCTCGCCTGAGATCTCAAATCGCATTTTCCTTCCTCCCAAGCACGGCGATCTGAAGCGAAGACTAGATCTACTCATATACAAACACACGACAAGAATGTGCGCAAGGCGGCTAATTATATTTTATGATAAGATAAATTAATATATAATAATGAAATAGAGAATAGAGGCAATGTTCAATGTAGGCTATTGTTAGTATTATGATCATACTAAACGGTCAAAGAGCGCCGGTCCACTTGTTTCTAAAAACAAAACAAAAACAACGACAACAACAAAACCGAAAGAAACAATAACAATAACAACAACAAAAAACTTGAATCTCAAATCAATTTTGTGTGTCGGTTTAGGCACCTCTTACTCTAAAGAACAACAGACAAGCCTAGATCTAGATCTAGATGAGCTGAGAGCTCCCACTTCCCACTCTTTCTTCTTTGTCTCAGCCTCAACGGTGAGCAAAAGTGAATCGAAAGAGGCGTAAGACTAAGACACTTACAATTATAATTTGGTATTTTCAGTCTGCGTTTTGCTGACACTTTATTTTCTCCGTCAAGTTTCCTAGGCGAATAATAGAAGACGTCAAGTCGTCGCTCCATAGACCTATATAATTAGCCTAATTATAGGCCAAGACACAGTAAGACGGGGTTATATAGGTCTATGCGTCGCTCTCTCCCCCGAAGATGTTTTGCCCATCTGGGAATCCCTTTTCTATTTATAGACTCATGGCTCCTCACGAAAAAGGTGTTCCCGCCCCCCCGAGAGCTGAAAATCTCCTCACATTTTGATGACGTTTTGCGCAGTCGGCCGAAGCGGAAGTTATTCACTGAAAAGGAAAGCAGGAAAAACGACAGGGAGCAGGCTGGCAGCGTCTAAAAAATATGCTGTATGCCATGTTTTCCTTGCTAAATTGAGCAAGTTTGACATTTCTACTGACGAACAAGGTAAGGACACGAATGGAAGGTTGTGTTTGGTGTAATTTGAAGTACGACGCACCGAGTTTTTGACAGTTTCTGTTACTCTTCCTGGTGATGGTTCCTAAAGCGGAAGCATTCCAAAGTGACCAAAGGCAGGCCAGGCTAAGACACTTTACTAACTCCCAAGTCACTAAATCGAAGTCACCAGCCTAGATCGAAGTATTCTAGATCTGTCAGTCACGGTGAGGATTTCTCTTTTACATTCACTACCCAGGAGCGATTACTTCTTTCCTGTATCTAATTCCTGTACTTTCCTCAGATGTAATGAGAGGCTTGGTATTTTGTGACACAGGGGTTGAAGTTGGGCTTGCCAAAACCTCTAGATCTAGATTCTATATTCAAACTCTAAATAATCTAGTCCACAAATTTTGTCCGAGCATAGATGATTGTTGAGCCCTATCCATCTACTGTCCTCTTATTCTTCCTCATCTAGATTGGCCGCCTCTATTCTCACCCGGAGTGAGAATAGTGCAGGCGAGTCTAAAAATTTTGCGTTCACCCTAAACCACAGAATTCTACACTGTGATAAGAGAAAAATTGTAGAATTCTGTGCCGTGAACAAACGTTCCATTACAACTGTAGTCTACTAAAAGCGAACAATTTTGTCTGTGGGCAGTGGAGAGAGAGAGAGAAAGAGAGAGAGGAGTAGCGCGAGAATATCCGGGCAAAACAAAATGGCGACCCACGTAGTTCGGCTCGATTCGAAAAGTTAAATAGCCGTAGCATCTTTGTAGACAACCAAATTAATTTACTTTTGTGTTTTAACATCATTTATTAACTTTGTTTTGGTCAGTTTGATCATCCACACCGATAGACAGTATTCAGAAAGAGACAGAGAGAGAGAGAAGAGGGGAGGAGTTGATCTTGCGAAAACTTTCGGGCGGGTTGGAATAGCCACTTTCATCTAGATTATATATGTTAAAGTAAGTAAAGTTGTTCCCCTCCTCTCTCCCCCCCCCCCATTTTGAACTGCTTGACCTACAGACCTACCACTCCTAGCCTCTGACTCTCAGTCTCAGATTCACCAAAGGATGGGTGCCATGTTTTTCAGTTTCAGGAAACGAGCCAAAGTGAAAGTGCGATTGTTGACGTGCACAACAGTGACCTGGGCATGGGTGTGCTGTGTAGGAGAAGGCAGTTTAGTGAACGCACTAGCGGCAGGGGGAATCGGCCCTGTAGACTTATGTGACCGGCCGCGAAGCCTTGGGTTATGGTGGGTCGAAACAACTCGCAGTTTTGTTTCATTTTGTGAATCGCACTACCACATCCAATACATCTTTTTAAATGGTAAAGAAAGATCTTAAAAATGGCGGTCTTCGCGTGAAAATCGTTTTGGTAGAAGTGGTAGAAATATCTGCTTCTGAAAACAAGGCTATTTTTACAACGCGATAAAATGAAAACTACTGGCTGCATATTCATGTAGCAATGCCTATCAGGTTTTCCTGCACGGTGAAAATTTGGTCCACGTTTGCGGGTGAATATTTTGACCGGGTCGTAGCCTAGGTGACTAACTTTCTCAACCTCGGTCTGCTCTGTTTCTGGACCAATGTGAATGAAACTCGGCAACCAATCAGAAAATAGGGCAAACTAATGATATATGGACGTTGAAGTTCGTACACATTTAAATAACACATTACACCCTAACTCGCCCGGGATCGCCCGGGAATTCCCTTTCGTGTTCCACCCTGACTCGCCCGGAACCGCCCGCACCGACCTAGCGTCTTTAGAAATGAAGTCTCGCCTTGACGAGACTCTGGGGACGCGATTTTGATTTGCATAGTATAGCAAAAAGTTTCTTCTTTCGTTTGATACCGAAACGAATTTTTTCGGGCTAGTAGTTTTAGTATTAGAGCTGATCGAAGTGCGATCGCGTTACCGACACTTCGAAAGTGCCTCGACTAGTTGAAAAGCGACACAATTGAGTTTGAAAACGGAAATAACGATGGATTTGAGCAAAACCAAGCATATATGACCAATCAGATGGCTCAGATGTTGATGAAAACGTTGTAGCAAGAGTTTGGGGCGATTCAGATTGATCAGACGTAGAAAATCTAGAATTTAGATGTAGGGCCCGACCGCGAGGCTGAGAGTGAGAGTGACGGGTCGGACACCCCGATTGAACTAAAGTTAGAACATTTCCAACAGTTTGTGCATACATAAAGTTATATTTTTCTGAAACTTCATTGTTTTCTTTTTAACTGTTATTTTTTCAGGATTTTTGGAATTTGTTTAGTATTTTTAAAATGTGTTTTTTAAACGCTTGTATTCACGGGAGGTGGGTTTCTTCCCCTTGCTAAGGATCTAGGAATGGACTTCCCGTCCAGGCCCTTAGTGTGTTATGTGTTAACCTACACTTTTGGTGTCGGGAACACTTTCGTATTAGGTGAACCGAAAACTATAAGGAGTTTGAATTTCAACGCCAAGAGGGTAACAGATCTATCTACCCTCTATAGTATGCTCAAATTTGAACGTTCTGATCCAGTAGTTGTTTAGACCCGATCATAAATGCACGACTACCCCCCAATCCAAAGTGGCTTCGCTCGGAGACCGGTCATTTTCCCCTCACTCTCGCGGCAAATGTACGTGACCTACAAGTCCCAGCATGACTATTCCGAGCCTGTTCATTGGTCACTTGAAATAGAAGGGTTATGGCGGGTGCATGCATCCGGTTGTTTTTCTCTCCGTTCCCCTGTGACATCGCAATGGGGGTATTCCGAGGGGAGCTTATCTCGTCTCGGGGTGTTCACGTCTCAACGGGGAAAAAGAATTTTCAATTGTACGGTATGCTAGATTGAATTAACTTATCTTTTAAGGTTGGAATGGTCTAAAGTCATCAAAGAGAGCTTTGCCATTATTTAGTCACGCTACCAACATATTCTTAAAGTTAAAGATCCCATGTTGTGATACAATGCTATAAATAAAATGGACTCATCCCGACACCCCTTTTTCGCAAAATCGAAATATGTACACCAAAATTTAAATCAAAATGCATTAAAAAATTGAACTCTGTCAGCGACGGGGCGCCCCCACTCTCCCCTGCACACTGCGATATCATAACGTACTGCGCCGGCGTCGCATTCTTTCCCGCTTTCCTTGTTTCTCCGGATTATAATAATACACGCGGCTATGAAATTATGAACGGACTGACAAAAGAATTCACAATTCTGTTTTTATTTTACAATTTGTGGCTCTTGAATAATGCAGATGATAACTAACTAAATCTAGATTCCCTGTCTAGAATTAGCAGTAGTAGGCCAGCAGCAGTCAGAAAGCCAGCGTCTGCTAGATCTAACTGTTTATGTCAATGGGCTTTGGAATTTAAATAAAACTTGAATTGCACAGTTCTATTTGATGTTAGATTCAGCTTCTGGCTATATTTTCCATAGTTAACTCTTTTCCTTTTATTAGACGACTTTTGTCTTCAATCAGTTTTGGGCAAACTTACTTAACTAGTTTGGAGAAGAGAACAGAGTTTTTAAGCCTCTGCTCAGTCTTTCACTTTCAGTACCTAATAATTTTATGTTATTATATTTTCTGGATTTTTTATCACCCTGAACCTCTAAAAGTACCCTAAAAAATATTTCAGTGACTTTGTAAAGAGATGTTTTGTAGTTTTGTACATTCTGTGTAAAATTCTCACCAAACTGATATACAAAACTTTGACCAAATCTGCATTTAGTGGAGAGTAATGCTCGTTTGTGTTGTTGCATTTTGCTGTCACAAAAACTCAAGTGTTTCAAATGGCCTGAAAGTGGCCGGATTTTTGGGAGGAAAAATCTCCATAACTTTTTGACTAATAAAGATATCAACACAATTGAAACTGTTTTATGATCGTGAAGGAGGGGCTTTCGAATGAAATCATCTCAAAGCATATCGGACACATTTGAAATTGTCACTAAACTGCCTCGTGGGAGGTCCTATTTTATTGTTCCAAGTTCTGCTTCTGTGAGAAAGATCTTGTACCCCCCTCCCCATCCCCCCTCCCCCATCTCCCTCCTCCCCATCCCCCCCAGTATGGGGCTGGGTGAGGAAATGTGTGTGGATACATATATGTCAGTAACATTCTCCCCCTCTCCCTCCTCCCCCATCTCCCCCCTCCTCATTGCCCCCAGCATGGGCGTGGCAGAGGAGATGTGTGGCCGGTCGTCCCATGAGGCCATGCTGCGCGTACAGGACGCGGAGCTGCGACTGCTGGACAGCGTGCACCACTTTGTCCTCATGAGGGTGGACAACGACAGGAAGTACGCCGCAGGGCTCGCCAAGATACTGCACGCCACCGTCGCCAAGGGGGGAGATGCAGAGTTTGTCGAGTGTTGTACGGTGTTTAAGGTGAGGGGGTGTGGTGGTGGGG